GTCGTGCCAGCAATAAATCCAAATTTTATGACACAAAACGTATCATCATAAACGATAAACGATACGATATGTAGCTATTTACCAAGCTTCTCACATTGTATTTTTTTCAAACTTTAGTAATCAAACCCGTGCATTTATAGTGGTGTTTAACCTGCTTAAAAAAAACATTTTTTTTTCTTGTGCAAGAATCCCACACACCCTCTGCTGCACTGAAGAAGAAGCATGAGAGAGCAAATGGAAACTAGGACACGTCAGGCTATTCTGCCAATGGCAAGGCGTACCTTGTAAAAGGCGCAACTTGGACCTATTTTGTGAAACATGGTTTAACGATTGGACATGGCCTTAAACCGATTCACTGCAGGTGCACAGATGGTGCATTTGTGTGTTTGGAAATGCTCTGTACTTGAAAGCAATGCTTATTTTCCAAAAGTCGTAAAAAATAAATAAAAAAATTGTCTTCGAGCCTGGTGGTAATAACCAGAGGCTGTTTGCCTCGTCTAATTCACCAAAACAATAATTTCATGGATGTCTCTGTGTTTGTAGCACACAGAGTGGAAGAGCATTTTCAATTTAAACCACAAATGTATAACGGCAAAAGCAGAAAAGGGGGATGAGCTGGTAAGGTCAGCAGACTGCAGACTTCAGCCGTGGTCAACTTTATGATACCAGTACATTTAAAAAAGAAACATGCATCTTGAACCTCGGTGTGTTTTAGGGGGGTTGCACGGGATAGGCAACGTGTCAAACTCAAATCCCAGAGGCCAAGTCAGGCTCTTCATGGCTTTTCATGAACCTTTGAAAACAGCTGTGTGCTTACATAAAATTTTAAAAAGTCAAATCAAAGCCATTTTTATCTGTATGTTGCTAAGAGACATCTGCACAAGGTGCCACACAACTGTTGCTAATGAACTGATGGGAGGTTTTCGATCAAAGAAGAAATAAATCTGCACTTTGCACCAAAAAGAAACACACAGTTATCGAATGATTTAACAGCGTTGGCATAAAGAAACAAAAGATCACGGCTAGAAAGCAAAGCAAAGAACTACGACCGACTGTGGATTGATGGGATAAACCATAAATACGTCAATATTTATATCTGGGGCAGATTTGACAAAACGCGAGCAGGTTTAAGGTCATATCAGCTCTTGGCTGAGACGACGACTGAACTCTGAATCAGCTTTAGAGGCAAACCGGCAGACAGTGGGAACTACAAGCTCTTCAGGACGTGCCACTCATCATCACGCTGTCATTTTCTCTCCGGGAGCTTTCCTTTTTTCTTTTTTGCCGCCCTCTTTCCAGTAAGCAGCCGGGTCCCGTGTGAGGAAGTGTGACGTTGTTTACTGAGAGTCATTGTTCGGCGCGCAGGCCGTCACTTCAGAATCCCCTGGTCACAGTCTGGCTCTGCCAAGCTTTTCCAGGGTACAATAAAAGCAAAAAAACAGACAATGCCCGGAAGACGGATGAGCGCAGAGTATTTTCTTCTTCTTCTTCCCTTTTCTTTCACATCCCTGACCTTAAGAAAAATAAATAAATAAAAAAATCCTTGTGGACAGAAACACCCACTGAGCAGCAGTCAGTACGGGTAGAAGTACCTCTTAATTATCACCCTTGAGCGGTTTGTTTTGAAGATACTGTTGGAAAGGACGAAACCGAAGGAAAGGGTTTTCAAAGATTTTTCCTTTTCCCTTTTATTCCCAACACTGAAGCCACTGGTGCCAAACATGAAGCAGAGTAAAGTGGAACGGCCGCGACAGGCCAGACTCTGGATGGCGCTGATTGACGCGGCAGCGGCGTCGTATTCCTTTTGATGGGATTGAGCGGTCACGACCTCTCAGATATGGAAATGGAGGCGGCGATCTGAGGCCGCGGTTGAAAGGCGTCGTGTGAATGCTTCGTTTTGCTCGTTTTCGTCCAGTTTCACGAAGATCTTTGAAAGCGTCACTGCCTGTTTGACCAATAGAAAGGAAATGTGTAAATGTGGGAGAGAATGCAGATTCGCAAAGTAGCATGCATTGGTATTCTGCTCTGACACTGCTACATCAGGGGTCTCCAAAGTGTGGTCAGCGGGTCATTTGTGGCCCTGGAAGTGACTCTTTGTGGCCCACAAACATCAGTTTGAGAGTGATAAAAATGAGTTTAATCATTAGTAAAATTATTACCCACATGATATTCTTTTTTATGCTGGTGATAGAGTATCCGTCTTTTGTGATAAACAGAACCACTGAACTTTGCTGCACCAAATCAGCCTTTATTTGATTCATTGAGCCGGGCAAGCATTTTGAAACCAAGTCCAGTGAGCTCAACTTCTTTGAGAAGGCATGAATTAGTAAATAGAACTCAGCTGCGTTTTATTTAATTTCAGTATAAATGCAGCTATTCAGTTGCGGTTTGTTGGAGGACATCAGTGAATAATCGGCATCATAAAGACCAAGGAGCTCAGCAGATCGTATGATTGTGTTTGCGCTCACGCCTTCAGTTCATGCCTTGTTGCTCGTTTACATGTGAGCAGGTCTTGCCATACATCCACTCCCTTCCTGTGTTCATTATCGCTAGACCGGTCTTGCCATAAATGCTGATTTCTTTGTGCTCGGTCTCTGCGTTTATCCTTGCGTTCTGCTCTTTAAGCTCTTTGGATTTTGTTCCCTTAAGAGTCTTCTTATTATTCTTTTCCTCGTGTTTTGCTGCCGTTGTTTTTAACTCTCAGCTTGCCGTGTAAATTATTCATTTCCCTTCCTTCCACCTGTTTGCCTCCTCTCTCCCAGATGCAGCCTGTTAGCCATCAACCACCTGCCTCTTGTCTGCAGTCACACTCTGTATTTTAGCCTCTCGGCTTCTGCCGTTCTCTACCGGCTCCTCCCGTCATCGGGCTGCGTCCTCCTCCATGGTTCCCTGCCTCTCCGCGGTTATTATTAAACCACTCCGACTATCTTTCTTTACATCGGAGAGAAAGGTGATTTTGGTTCTGGAAACATTCTTGGAGCACTTTTAATTCAATCAATCAATTCAATCATTGACCAATGATTGCTACGGAGGAGCCGCAGAGTTTGCCAGCTCTGGATCAGCCAATGTGTTGACGGGACGTCTCGTCAAGCAGCCATCTCGCAGGCGAGCACACGCTGCTGTTGCTACTTATTTATTTATCTTTAGCTCACCCGCAGCGCCATGCGGGTGACATGCGGGTGACATGTCGGTGTATACGCCACCTAGTCAAAGGAAAAGGAAGAAAAACCAAGAATCTGTATAATTGTTTCCCAAAAGAGGGAAATAATCCACAGCTGACTTCTCCTCTCTGTACTTCTGCTCGTTATCTGAAATGTTGTTTCCTGAGGCCCCGTCCACGCGGGAATGTCCTTCCTTCAAAAGCCGGGAAGCTTTTAACCGTGTGTGCCCCGCATCCACACGGAAACGACGTTTTTAAGCGATCTTTAGCATTTTTTTTTTTCATTTATTGATTTATTTTTGTTAAAACAGGTTCAGGAGTGAAAGTTTTGCCTTCTCATATTCATGTGGACAGTGAAAACACTTCCTTTGTGAAAACGCGTCTCGCACTCTCACTGTTCTTGCTTTCTTGTCAAGCTTTACGGCTGACCTCCTAGAGTTCAACACTCTGTGCTTAGCGCCACTTACAGGAAAAACACAACAATCTTTGTTTCTGTGAATGAAAATGTTTTCGGAAGAGGTCTGGGGTGGATGGGTTTTTTTTGTTGTCCTTTTTAAACTGAAAACCACTGGAGGACAGCAACTGGATCTGTTTGGTGACAATCTTTGAAGCCAGTTCAGCCACAAAAAGCTGAGTTGCCGGCTGAATGAAACGGATGAACGAAACGAACAGACATCATTGAAACCATGGCGGAAAAAGTCCAACTTGGCAGCTTCTGAAACGGAAAACGTGTGGAAGGAGGAGCTCAACTTTGACCTACATTCAGAAAGCCGCCATTGGCACAAAGCTAATATTAATACTTCATCCTCATGGTGCCATAAGGTAATGCTGTGAAGATGGACTGGAGCGAACTGGACACGTTTAATTGTAAGACTGATGAAGCTAAAAAGCGAAAGACGCAGAGGATGGTGGTTCGGCCACAATCGGAGGTTTCTGGAACGGTTCAGGCCAATACGTCGAAGTGGTCCAGTTAAAGTACAGAAATAAAACCAAGAGGGAGTAAAGTGTTTATAATTGAGGTTTTTGGAAACTCTTCTTCCAATCCAAACAAGGCTGAGCAATTTTACAAAAACGAATGAGAAAGAAATCATTGACATTTGTGGAGACTGTGCCAAAAAAAAGAGAAACAAACAAAAAAAAAGAATTCATATTTGTATTTATTAATATATCTTTAAAAATAACTGAGAAGTCAAATCCCTGTGATCTCAGATGATTTTTTTCTCTCTCTCTCGCTTTATATATATATATATTATATATATATATATATATATATATATACATATATATATATATATATATATATATATATATATATATATATATACATATATATATATATATATATATATATATATATATATATTATATATATTGAGTACATTGAACTTTATTTCATTTGAAGCTTTCAGTCACAATCAGAGTCCAATCTGCCGATCCTCTATCGTCGGCAGCTTTAATAAAAAGTTAATAACTCGCCGGCTCTGGCTACATTTACACCGCGGATCGGGGGCAGAAGGGGGTTGGGGGGTGGATGGGGGGTAAGTGGGGTGTGAAATAGACCTGCGGTTCGCTGATGGACTCGTGAAGGGGACTCGGATGGCTGCCTGTCGCTCACGCAGCCGGAGCGCCGCCTCTCTGCTCCATCTGAAGTCAAAAACGCGAATCTAAATAGCCTGGAAAGAGGCATTTCTGCCGCCGATAGGTCCCCGAAGTGGCATCATCGCGGGGAGTTATTGGCGGCGCAGCCTCGCCCGCACCCTGCCGCGGGGTGGGCGGGGTCGCAGTGACGCCGTCATCCAATGGGCACCGGCTTCCTCCGGACCGAGCGCAGCATCTTCTGCCTCAGCGGCACTTTTGCGCCAGACAAGTAGGGACGGTCTCTGGCTCAGCGGTGGAGAAGAGAGAGGAGAGAGATAGAGAAAAAGAAAAACAGTACGGGAGATCCGGGAATTATACCGACTGACGGGAGATTCATCCTCCTTCTTTTCCCCCCTTTTTTTTAATCTTTATAACCTTTTGGCATTTTTTTTTTTTTTTGTTTGTTCGCAAAGATGATCGCTGGCCGCATCCTGCTGGCGTGCACCGTACTCGTGGGCGCATCCTCGGTAAGATGAGTTAATTCTCTCCGCTCCGGTCGGAAGTGCTGCACCGCCGCGGCGCTTTTTTTTTTTTTTTTTTTTTTTTTTTGTGCGGCGGCGCCGCATGGGCGCTCGGGAAAGTGGACGCGGACGGACCGGCTCGCTTTGCCCCGTCGCGCTGCAGTTTGGAGGGGAGAGGTGGGGGTGAGGGGGGCTTTTGATCCCAAGTCATTTAGTTGTTTCTTAAAGACGGGTGACTGAAAAGTCAGAGCGGCAGCCTCCCCGGAATAAACTGCAGCACTATTGCGGTGGACGATGCTTCATGTATATATATATATATATATATATATATATATATATATATATATATATATATATATATATATATATATATATATATCTAAGAGCCCGCAATTAAACTTCGCCTGCACGCCGCTAACATTTCAGGGAGTGAAACTCGGTTGATGACCAGTTTTGTCTAATGAGGAAGAATAATTGGAGGGGTCTGGAGGGGGGGGGGACATCTTATTTCGTTCACAAGCAAACAACTGCCATGGCTGTGCTGTCTGCATGTGTGTGTGTGTGGGTGTGTGTGTGTGTGTGCAGTCAGAGGGGATGTGATACTATAGATGCATGAATCAGGTGCATGCTACGAGGAATAGTTGCTCTTTCTGGCTCGCACTCTGCGATCCTGCGGCTGTGCCTGATGATAATGCACATTTAGCATTTTTTTTTTGTGCTTTTTTTTTGTGTGTCCTTAACTACACATTGCAGAGAGACGCACGCTTCACTTTACGCACACTTTGCCTCTGTTATGAGGATTATGGCTGATTACTATCACCACAAGTTCGTGACTGTTAATCTAACGGGGGTTTCACTGCATGGCGCCGCTGCACTGTGGCGGCTCACCACCCAGGGCGGCAGCGCCTTCGGGGCGGCCCAGGTCGCTTTGGTGCAAAGTTATTTGGGAGAAATGAATGTGGAACTGCTTATTTGCATGTGCTGAGGTTAGGTACGTGGCATGGAGACTTAGTTTCGTGTCACGTGTGTGATGGATGTCCTACTTGTAGACGAAGAGACAGATTTTTGTTTGCTATCGGAATGTTTTGAGTGACTGTCTTGTGGTATAAATTTGTGTAAAAATATATAAACTTTGATACCAAAAAAATGGCCTGGATGATCAAATTGATTTGATTTAAAACAAAAAAAAATGTATTTTTTTTGCATTTGCAGTAGGTACAGCTTAGATATTATCTTTAATAAGAGTGAGCTGTTTTTATGTTGACTCGTAAACAAGGAAAGAGCTTCCCAGCTGCCTTTCCTCCAGCTGGACGGCAGTGCACAGCAATGAGACTTCAGACTGTAAGAATGGTGTTGCTTTTCGAAACCTCTGCCTGCCCCGATCTTGATTTTTTTTTGGGGGGTGGGGGAACGGCAGACATGTAGAGTCGGGGTCCGTCGGTGATTGATCCGCTTCAGACGTTGGATCCAGGTTGTAAACAAACAGCAAGATTCAGTATGAGTCCACCTTTTATTTTTTTGATTTTTTTCCCCCCCTTTCCCTAGGGGAGCAGGGCGGGCCAGAACCTGAAGCCTCCCTGCAGACCCGGCTTCTCTCAGAACTTCTACACGGTGATCGTCCCCAGAGACGTTCTGCACGGCCAGAGCATCCTCAAAGGTAAGTCTGCTGCTGCTGCTGCTGCTGCTGCTGGCTACCATTTATTGACTGATGATTTTCTTTTTTTTTTTCTCTCATCTCTGCACTGATGTGTCGCATCGTGTGAGTCTGTGCTTGCCTACCTTGCGTGTGTGTGTGTGTAAAGAGGGGAAGCGTGAGGCATACGATGTGGTGTGGGAGTCTCCATCACTCCTAAAAGGTCAGAATGTAATTTAGTCGCGGCGGTGCTACATGGACGCCGCGCGGCGCGGATGGGACTCTTTCCCTTTTCTCCCCCGGAGAGTCCGGGGATGCGGTCTGTCGGCAGGGAGCTCGGTGCGTTCTGTTCCAGCAGCTTCTCAGTCCAAACGAGGTTTCACTGACGAACGAACGCTGAAATTACTCCGACTGAAATAAAAATGAGAAATTACTTTGTTTTGTTTTTTTCTCTTTCCTTGATTGACTTAGCACAGAGCAGTTAAACATCCATCCTCCTCCTCCAACTTTTCTTTTTTGTTTTTACAATTTCATATTATTTTCCGCTGTTTGTTACAGCTCTCTTGTTTTTAATCGCTTCGGTTTTGTTCCATTTTTTTTTCTTCTTTTGTTTTTTTTTTAAAGAGAATCCAATTCCCGTTTTTCATCCACTTCATCTCCCTTCAGCCGAGGCGCCGCGCTGCACCCACTGCGAGGTTAATCTGCAGCCATCTGAAAATTACGCCGCAGCTTTTTCAGCATGTCCCATTTGTTTTCCGGTGAATCATAGCTATAATGGAAATGAATCCACTCCAGTACTCCCCCACCCTGCAGCCACATTCCAGTGTCCCTCATTTGCATAATTGACTGACAAAGAACACCTTGAACAGTCGGCGAATGTGCTTGCAGAGCAGATTATATTTACATCTTAAAACTTTGTCTAAAGGCGCTGTAAGAAGGTGTGTGACCTGTTACAGCTTTTTGTTCTTATAGAAGTTGCTTTTTTTTTTATTTACATAAGATTTATATTTTCAGTTTTAGTCAAAAATATCCTCTCTGTAAAGAAGAGATGCAGTTTCCAAAAGATAATTTCAGTTTTTTCAAGAGGAAAAACAATTATCAAGGCTGATCTGGTTATATATGAAAATAGTAATTAACCCCTGAACCTAATGACTTGCAGCATCACCTTTGGCAGCAGCAACTGCAATCAAGTGTTCTTTGTGAATTGTTCAAGGTCATGCCACTGCTTAGGCCCAAACTTTGACTAGGCCACCTCAAAAGTCTTTCTTAAAATTATATTTTAGCGGTCATCAGATCGTTGTCCTCCTGCTGCACATTCAAAGTCTGCTTGGGTTTAAGGTCGCAGACGTTCTTCCTCATCTTTATGTAGAAGAATTTAAAGAACTCAAAGACAGCCGTCCGCTCAGATCTCGAAGCTGCAAAGGAGCCCCGCAGCACCATGCCACCGCCACCGTGTTTGACTGCTGGCTTGATGCTCTTTTACTGGATTGCTATTTGATTTAGTTTTTTTTTTCATGCCAGATGTTTTGAGAAAGTTTCACTGTCGTCTCATAAATCCACAGTCATTCAGTCCACGGCATTCAAAAGACTTTATTTGAATGCCGTTTACTTTTTCTTTGTATTTATTATTTGTCTGATGTTCAAATTTGATTGATCTGAAACATGTAAACATGATAAAGAAGCAAAAACGGACGAAATTTGTAAATTTGGGGCAGTAGCTCAGGGCTCCATTCTGTTGGGGGCGCTCACATACTTTCTTTTTATAAATGTGTTTTATAAACATTGTACTAGCATAACACTGAAAGGCTAATACCAGGAGAGTTGCATGAACATTTAGGGATATTAATAAATGTAAACAATGTATTTTAAGGTTAAGTTATAGTGCATTTTTTTGGTTAACACATGAAGCTAATGGCAGGGGGACATACTAAATCTACCATGCGTCAGTCCAGTGGATGTAGAGAATGATTCTAATTTGCACTAGTAAAAGCTTTTTTTTTTTTTTCTTTGGTGGTCAGGGCACCAAAACTGGCTCCAGGCCAGGGGCCAACCTCCTTGTAGTTCCGGCCCTGACCACAGACACAAGGAACGGTGAGGCTTGTTCTGAATGTTTAAGATGTTTGATCTGACATGAAATCGGTAAAACCTTAGATTTAAGGCAGGGAACGGAGCCGGTACTCAAGACGTTTCGTATTCCCGTTCCTGCATAATATCAAACTGTTACTCATAGTTGTGGATGCAGCGGCTCCGGCAAGCGAGCAGAATGAGGTAAGCTGTCCCCTGACACCTTGCCTTTATAGCCAAATATTTGTCTATTGTTTGTGAAATGCTGTGTGCCAGGGGGAAATGGCATTTTCATTGGAACAGCTGTTTGAGGATTTTCCGGCTGCAAAGCGTAACAATTGAATCACTCTGGAGGTGGTTTTGTTGTTTAAGGAGCTGACAAGGACAGTGCAGCCGGTCGGAGGGGAGCCGCTTCGCCCCGGAGCGAAGGCTTCCAAACCGACTCGAGGCGTCTGTGCTGGTCCGGAAGAGCGTGATGGATCCAGAGCGCTAACCATGCAAATGTGTGTGCATGACACGGGGATGAGACATGTCCCAACGTAGCCATTAGCTCCTAATGCCTTCATTTGAAAAAGCGTCACAGCAGAAGCTTCAGCTGCATCGGTTTGAGTCACCTCATGTTCTCGATCAGCGCAGCTTTGATCCCACGTTACCTGGCCTTCCCGTTTCTCCGTCTCTCTCTGGTCGGGCTTTGTGAAAATCAATCGGCGATCCGTGCTGTTCTCCCACACCTGCTATTCAAAGGGATTCGGGTCCCAGCAGCTCGAGGCGACTCGCTGGAAATTAATGTGCACCAAACTTGTCTTACTGGACACAAAGTGGGAGGGAATCTCGATTTTAGAGTATGAAAACCTCCCAACTCTCCCTTCCAAGGACTGATTGGTCAGGGCCTTTTGGGAGAGGAATCCTGGATGCTCTGGAGCTGGGAGGGGAATGGTTATGGGCCGGTCACCAGTAATAAAGTTTTAAAGCCGGACCATTTTTATAAAATCTAAGGAAAAAAAAAAAGATTAACTTTCGGCCCAGCGGGTGCAGCAGTGTGACGCAACCTCTCCTCTTCCAGTCTCTGAGCAATCTGTCCACTTCGACTCCTTTCGCGGCGAGGCGGAGGGGCTGTTGTTTTGCTTCCGTTTCGCTGGGCGTGTGGGCGGCCAAGAAGCCACCACGTAATATTTTTCTTGTCAAATTCATTAACACCCCTCTCGGTTAATTGAAGGTGTTAGAAATGGCGTCCCCAGCATATGCCTGTCTGTCGCAGTCCGCTTTATCTACCGCTTTTCCCTCTGCTCCGTCCCTACTGGTGTCGGAAATTACTCAAGTATGTATGTTTCAGTGCGCGACTTGCACTGATTGTCAATTTGTATTCATTTCGTTGTGATGAACTCTTAAATGTTGGCACGCAACTCTACCGACGTCACGTTCAGCTGCTCGCCAACGTTGCTCGTCAAAACATGTTTTGAGTGTTTTGTTTAGTTTTTTTTCCCGTTATTTTGAACTAACACAGAACTAATACCTCGTAAAAGCATTCACACTCCCTTTGAGTTGAACGTTTTGGCACATCACAAACAAATTTGCATAATTGTGAAGTGAAAGTAAAAAGCTCCCTGCTTTTTCCCAGAAAAGATGTTATTTTGGGGGAATATAGCTCCACCGGCTTTGCATGTCTTCCTTGGAAAAAAAAAAAAGCTCAAGCTTTGCCAAGTTGGAGGGATGCTTCTGTGAACATCGATTTTCAGGTTTTGACACTTATTCACAGCCGATTGTAGGTGTGGGCTTTGATTAGACTATCTCAAGTCGTGAATACGGTTCGATCTAAACGTCGGCTCCAGAAGAGCCACGTCTCTGATGATGTGCTGCACATCATTCATAAACGAACGGTTTTGTTCGCTGGTCTCCGCAGAGAAAAAAGAGAGAATCCAGTCATTTGGTTCGGGTTGCTTGACGACTGGCAGCTCTGGAAGACTAGCTCTAAACCACAGGAGTTGAACTCACACTCATACTGTATGAATGTCTGGTCTTGGTCGTCATAATGATTTTCGCTCAATCTAACAAACCACCACGAGAATTTTATTTAAGGGTGTCAGATCGACAGGGGCGAAATAAAAATACAGCTTTTCCTCCATGTGCTCGACTTTTTCTTGCATTGCCCCCAAATGTTTTTGCTAGACTAAAATGACTGTTTTTGCAAGGCACTCTGCTTCCGTACATGAGATGACGTTCCTTTTTCGTTTGTGTCTTTTTTTTGCCGCTGCAGCACGAAGTGTTTCACTTCAGCCAGCAGCGGCTGATTTGCCAGCGTTTGGAAGGGAGCAGCTAGAAGACGGTGTCTGGCAAGGAAAAAAAAACAAAACAACAAAACCGTCACAGCATGAAAAGGAATAATTACAGGCGGAAAAAGATGAAATCCATTATACAAGAAACAAAATCCATTTTCCGCTGTTCTTTTTGACTGAGTGCCTGTGTCCAAATGATTTAGTCCTGATGGGAGTGGCCTCTCGCAGCCTGACGCTCCCGTACAGCGTGCGGCTTCACTGGAGGGTTTAATGAGGAAGAAAATGATGCGAGTTGCACACAGCCATCCTTACCAGCTTTCATCTCTGCTGAACACTGGAGAGTTTTTCTTTCTGTCTTTTCTTTTGGGGGCCCCGACATGTTTCAGCACCGTTTTTCCACCACCATCATCATCATGCAGCTCACATTGTTTGGCACAATAAGCCTCCGCCTCTTCGGCCAGGCCGCTCCCGTTTCGTTGCCTTGTGGGGGTGCAGCACCGCAGTGAGACGATGTCTTATCTCTCGACGGAGATCGTGGGGAAAGCCTCTCAGCCGCCCGGTTGCTGGGTCACCATTACCTCCAAATTTATCCACTTTTTACAGGTTTTTAGTGTTTGTGTCGGAGCAAAGTTTTCTCTTGTAATCCCTTTTTGCTTGTTCCTCTCCTGTTTGGCTGATCCAAAAATA